TCTCCAAAGACCTGTCTCTCCTTACAACATGTCCAAAGTATGTCAGGCAAAGCCCCAGATTCCTTGCCTCCAAGGAGCAGCCTGGTTTAACTCTCTCTAGGATGAATCTATTTGTTTTCTTGGCAGTCCATGGTACATTCAGTTCTCTTCTCCAGCATCACAGCTCAAAGGCGTCAATTCTCCTTCTGTCCTCCCTACTCATTGTCCAACTCTCTGATGCATAACAAGTGATTTAAACCCATGGCCTGTATAAGGTGCACCTTAGTCTCCAGAGAGACACCATTGCTCTTGATAAAGCGGCCTACTTTGTGATATTTTGTTAGAGCAGTCCTAGGAAAAGAATGCTATTAGTTTTATGCATCATTGAGTTGGAACCGACTCATAGTGGACCCTCCAGAGGGTTTTCAAAGGCAGTAAATCACATGGGAAGAGACTGCTTATCTTTCTCCCCTGGAGCAGCTGGTGGATTCAAATCATGTGTGTCTGGGTTGACAACACAACTCTTCAACACTGAGTCACTGGAGCCAACTAGGACCAAAATAAGGCCTTTATAAAATGGTGTAGTCTCCAGATGCCTATGTGACTTCTTTCCCAATCTTCTCCCTCATTGTTCTTTTCACACACTGACCACATGTCTATCCTTTGAACATACAAACAACTCCTCCCTCAAAGTTGAGTGCTCTTCCTAAATGTCCCCAATTCATTGCATTCAGGCCTCTCCTTCAAGGATAAAAAACAAAACCAAACCCTGAACTCATTGCCAACAAGCTCACTCTAACTCTCAGCAACCCTCTGGGGTTGCTGCTGTTGTTGTTATGAGCCATCAAGTCATCTGTGACGTGCAACAACCCTGTGTACAACAGCTCTGCACCCTGCCCTATCCTGAGCCAGTTACACGAATTCTGGCACACTTAACCTCATTACCCTAGTTACTCCTGTCAATCCATCTCAACCAGTATCTTCCTCTCCTGAGCTGACCCTCTACCCTTCTCAGCATGATGTCATTCTTCTAGGGCTAGTTTCTCCTGTGAGACCTGTTTGTCCTGTTGGTGGTCCAGAGTATGTTAAATACTCTTCTCCAGCACCACAACTCAAAGGCACCAATTTTTCTTCTATCCTCCTTCGTCATTGTCCAGGTCTCTGTGGCATAGCAAGTAATTGTGAAGACCATGGCCTGAATGAGTCTTTAGGCTGATAGCGTAAAGCTATATTGCTATCTCTATCTGCTAACCAGTCCCTATCTGCTTTATTTTTTTTAAAGTTGTTATCACTGCTAGAAAACATGATTATCTGTTTATTTGTTAATTGTTTGGTAATTCTCCTGCAATGTAAAATTCTCAAGGATAGAACTTTACTTTGTTCATATTTATTTCCATAGCAAGGAGGAAGTCCTCAAGAATTACTCTTGAATAATTGAATGAATATATGGGGAAAATGGCACATATGTGCAGGTATACATACGCAAACAAAAACACATTCACACACTACACACACACACATACACACACACACACACACACACACAGAGAGAGAGAGAGAGAGAGAGAAAGTAAGCTAGTCCCATCAGGGTGTAAGTGGTTTAGGAGATGATTAACAGACTAGCCATTACAGTGAGATTAAAGTAATGTTAAGGATTAAAGTTAGTGGTTCAAATCCACCCAGACACTTACAATAATCCCCTGAAAAAAACACAAACAGAACCCTCAGCCATTAAAAACACTATTTTTGCTTGATTTACATGGTCTTTCCAGGCATTAGAATGAAGTTAATGACAACTGCTTTAAAAAAAAATAAATAACCAACCCACTAATCAAATAAAACAACAATTTTATTGTTTTCTCCCCTATAAGGAGCACCTTATCCAGACTATGGTCTTTGCAAGTATGTGCTGCACATGAGAAAGTTGGACAAAAACGAGGGATGATGGAAGAAGAATTGATGCCTTTGAGCTGTTGTTCTGGAGAAGAGTATTGAATATACCATGGACTGCTAGGAGAATAAACAGGTTCGTCCTGGAGAGGGTGAAACCAGGCTGCTCCTTAGAAGCAAGGTTTCTACTTGGAGAGGAACATTATGCTCAGAAGGGTGGAGGGACAGCACAGGAGGGGAAGACCCTCGATGAGATGGATTGATTCAGTGACTGGGCCAGAGACAGTAAGGTTGGCTCAAGATAGAGCAGGGTTTAGGGCTGTTGTTTGTACGGTTGCAATGAGTTGCAAATGCCTTGATGGCACAAAACAACAACAACAATCAGGAACTGAGCTAAACATTGGGAATAAAGAGACAACTATCTCTTCAAAGAGATGGAAAAGGCAATATCCAATTTCATTTGGGACGGAAAGAGGTCCCAAATAAGCAAAGCACTCCTTCAAAAGAGAAACAAGGTAGGAGGCATCTCATTCCCTGATTAAAAATCCTACTACACTGCCATAATGGTCAAGACAGTGTGGTACTGGTACAATGGACAGACACAGAGATCAATAGAATAGAATTGAGAACCTGGAAATCAGCCCATCCACCTATGGTCCACTGATTTTTGACAAGGAGTTGAAATCAGTTAAGTGGGAAAATGCCAGCCTTTTTAACAAAAGGTTTTGGCAAAATTGGAAAACTATCTGTACAAAAGTCAAGTAAGATTCACACATAACTACACATACAAAAGCCAACTCAAGGTGAATCAAGGACCTAGGACTAAAACTAAGGACTATAAATCATATTGGCTGCATTTTTTTATCAAGAAAGTAGGGGTTTTTTGGTCTTTGATTATTTCTTAGTTTATGGCCAACTGACCATTTCAATTGCAAATTCTTTCCCCATAAATGGCCAAAGCTATCATTGTAACAAAAATCCCCTTTACCAACCAGCCCCTTACCTTTATAGTTAGTTTTTTCTAATATTAAATATTTTTATTATTTTTGTATTCATGTATATTGTGCTGTGTCATGAACATGTGTTTATACAATCATTCATATACATTGTGATTTATATAATTAATTGCTAGTGACCAATGGCTTATATCACTGCATCTCATTAAATCCCTATTGCATCTTACCTTTTTCTTCACCATCCCTCCATCCATCCACTGACTTCTGCTGTCCTAGTGATTTTTCCCCTCTCTCATCCTTCTTCCACCCACCCTGACACTTTTGAATCTTGTATAATCTTGATTTTGATAAAGAGGTTGCTTTTATTCTAATTAGCATATTACAAATGAAATTCTTCTTTCCTCATTAATAAAGAAAAGAGATAATTCAATGATAATGAGAACTTGCTTCCCACATTTAATGAGTTGCGACACATTTAATAAAGTAATACTGTAACGCTGATAAATGCAAGGCAAATAAACATGCTTTGTCAGGAAGTGAACTTCTGTGATTTCGTATTATGTTCTTATGTTGCTATGGGAGCTCTAGTCGTGTAGTGAGTGAAAGAAGCTGTGCTACAATCCCAAAGGCATGTGGTTCAATTCCATCAGCTGCTCTAAGGGAAAAGGATGGGCAATTTGTTCCAGTGTAATTAAGTGTCTCTGAAGCTCTAGGGGGGTCAGCTCTGGGTCAGTTCTGACTTGATGGTAACAACAACATGCTACTATACTACAGGACTCCTATTGGTACAGTGACTAAGTGCTTGACTATTAACTGAAAGGTCAGTGGCTTTAAATCACCAGCAGCTCTGCGGGAGAAGAAGACTTCTGGTGATGAGCTCTTGTGAAGATTTCAGCCTTAAGAAGCTGAAAGTGGCAATTCTACTCTGTCCTATTAAGTCGCTCTGAGCCGGAACCAACTCACACAACACAGGCGGTTGATTCTGTAAGGTGTAAGCTAATTGGTCATTTTGATTTAATTAGCAATCAGTTGTGGGCTGAAAGCCTCTTGTTTAAACCAATCAGGACCCCGTGGGCAGGCCTTTGTGATTAAAAGTCAGTTGAGAGGCCGTTGGGCCTGGTTGCTACTAGAGATACAAACTAAACTGGTAGTTTGTTGCATTTGGGAAGAGAATTGTTCTAATTGGTACAGTACTTGTCTGTTTGCTGTACTGAGATAATTCATAAGTCGCTGTGATACTGAAAGTTGGGCCACCAGTATGTCAAATGCCTTAAGGGTCTCCCATGGTAGACAGGTTTAAGTAGGGCTCACAGATTAAGGCAGATTAGGAAGCAGGATTTGCCATCCAGTTCTTAAATAACAGACTTTTGAAAACCCTATAAACACGGTGACTGCTGCAAAGGGCACTAGTGTGTGGAAGTGTGAAGATGCCACAGGATAGGATGGACTTTGGATCCACTATTCATGGGTTTGCTGAGTCATACTTGATTCAATGGCACCTAACAACAATAACAACCACAAAACCAATTATTTAGTCTACTGAACCATGGGCTCTTAATATACCAATATTTTTTTAAAAAACATTGAATCATTTTAAACCTCTCAGTTGGGACTGTTGTTGTTAGGTGCATAACTCATAGCTGTCCTATGAACAGCAGATCAGAACCTTGCTCTTATCTTGTACTACAGTCACTCTGTCAACCCATCTCCTGGAGGGTCTTCCTGATGCCGTTTTCCAAGGACTCTTCCTGATAAACCTATCCAAAGTATATGGGATAAAGTTTCATGGTCTTTGTCTCTAAGGGGCAATCTGATTGTACTTCTTCCAAGACAGATTTGTTCAATCTTTTTGTCAGTCCATGGTTTGGTTCAGGATTAATAATGTAGTGGAAAATACTTTGATTTCTAGTTTCTGCACTACCATTGTTTGAAAGAGTAACGGTAGATCCTCTTGTTCTGTTCAAACAACTGCCTAATAAGTGTTCAGTGAGTAAATGGCAATTGGGAAGTAATGTGTTTATCTAACAATCTCTTGTTTTGTTGTGTACCATGAAGCCAGAACTGACCAATAGCTGACCGTCAGTGTGTTTTCAGAGAGAGTTCACACAGGAAGAGATTATCTATTTTTCTGTCCTGGAGCAGCTGGTAGATTCAAACGGAATAGAAATTTTTGAAATATTCTTCCTGGCTCCAGCATTTCCACATTTATGCTCATTCTTTCTCTCTCATTTCCTTCAAGTTGGAACCATTTCAGACCTGCCCCTACAATAGGCTTCCAAGACTGTAAATCATGTGAAAGGAGATTGCCCATTTTTCTCCCTTCAAGGGGCTGGTGGATTTGAAAAGAGGGATTCTCTCTTTGGGTTAACAACACAGAACCCTATGGACTACGTCATCAGACCTCCCTCTATGCTTTTAGGTCCATTAATTCAATGTATGAAAGGGTCAGCAATATTTGACAGTGCTCATTTACAGTGAACAAGATCTCCGGTCTAAATGTCATAAACACACTATGCAATACAGGAGAGAAAGAACTACATTTTTACATACCTGGTAGCTTTTTGGTGAATTCAACAAGAATCTGTACATGACTAGTGGCCATTTCCGTTAAAATGAGAAAATTTTCTTCTGCACTGAACTCTTCTTTTAACTAAAATTTCAGACGGAGGGAGAAAGCCAAGTATTAATAGGTAACTTAAAAAGACAAATTGATAGAAAATCATTAAACTAAAAAATAACCACATTACAAAGATCCTCCATAAAATGTACGGACCCAACTCGAGTTTCTCAGCTCCGTGGAGAGTAACTGTTGCTACCATGATAGATAGGAGACATTTCACTTTCTAATGGTAATTAAAATTTAAGTGCTGCCTCCCCAAATAATTAAAGGTACAATTTTAATTTCCAGCTTTAATCCCTTCAGAATAAGATTTTCTTATACATGTTCCACCTCCCAGGTTAGAAAATGTTAACTTGAAACCCTTGCCTTTTCAGATACTGTACATACAATTTTATTGGTTATTTCCTGGGGCATCCTCTGCTTGCTATACGAGTCCATGATATAATGTAGAAGGTTCTGCTGGTCAGGGGTGAGCTCAGTTTTCTCCTGCACTGGCAAGAAAATAAGAAGAGTTAGAGTTAAGGTGATATTTAGGCATCCTTCTTATATATGATTCATCTGAAGTGAACTGGTCTTTAAAACTAATGAGAAAAGGCCCTAAATAGGGAAAGAAATATGGACTGTATTACATTTTCCATGTCCCTGAGAAGCTTGTTGTTTGTTTGTTGTTGTGTTATTGTGTAAGATGAAGTCAGAATCGACCTGTAACTGACCCTCCAGTGACTTTTCAGAGGAAGTGAATAGCTTTGGGAGGAGACTGCCCAACCTTCTCCTGTGGAACAGCTGGGTCTTTGAGCCAGATGCCTAGGAATTCATTTTCCTACTTATAAACAGAGAGAAAGTATTTCTTTCATCTATTTCTTGGGAATAACTATTAGTCTGGATATAAAACACACTAAGCCTATTCATAGAGAAGGTCAGAGAAAGTTCAAGATTTATTCACAATTAAGAAAATGTTCCCCCAGAAAAAGTGGAGATTCTAGCAGCTTTAATATAGATCAGTGTTTGACACTGTCTCTGAACACCTGCCACAGGGTCAGCTATGGGTCAGTTCCAACTCTACGGTACACAACAAAACCAATGCTGACAAATTATAGTCTATGCGTAGAATTCACTTGATATTGCAAATAAAGTTTTACTGGGACACAGCTACACTCTGTCCTTTACATGCTATCTATCTGGCTTTCACACTATAATAGCGAAGTTGTGTAATAGTAAGAGGGATTGTGTGTTGCAAAGACTGAAATATCTACTACCCTTTTAAAGAAAAATTTGCTGACCCTCTACACAGCAATCTCTGGTAGCACAGGCTGTGGAGAGATGCACGCTAAGCCAAGGATGGTGCTTCTCTAGAGGTTCAAATTCATCAGTGACTCTGCAGGAGAAAGATGGGCAATCTCCTCCTGTGCAATTAACAGCCTCAGAAGACCCTCTGGAGAGTTACCTATGAGTCAGTTCTGACTTGAAGGACATGAGGAAGGACAAGAGTCTGGACAATTAAGACATAAATATCACTTTCTCCCTTACTAAAATCCATTAAAGAAGTATTAGTAATTGTGTGAAAGTCCTTCAAAAAAAGAGACTCAAGTATAGAGATGATGAAGATGGTACAGAGTAGGACAAAGTTCAGACCTATTGCTCATAGGGCCGCTATGAGTTGTAGTCAAACTCAACAGCACCTAACAGCAACAAATGAAAGTGTTATTGATAAAACATCATGGAAAAATCCTGGCTCACATAAAATTATTTATTTTTCTGAAATAAATCCAAAATTATATATTTGATATGTTAAATATAGATTCTACTGAAGATTATCCAAAAAAATACTGGAAGAGCACATCAGCATCGTTCTAATGTGAAACCTATACTTGGACCAGGAGGCAGTCGTCAGAACAGAACAAGGGAATACCGCATGTCAAAATTGGGAAGGGCGTATGCCAGGGATGCGTCCTATCTCCACACCTTTTCAACCTGTATGCAGAACAGATTATCTGGGAGGCTGGGCTCTATGAGGAGAAATGTGGGGTCAAGATTGTCTATCAACAATCTGCATTATGTAGATGACACAATCCTGCTTGCTGAAACTGAGGAGGACCTGAAGCACCTGCTGCAGAGGGTCAAGGACTGCAACCTCCAAAATGGATTGAGGCTCAGTGTCAAGAAGATAAAGATTCTCAGCACTGGACCAATTGGCAGCATCAGGATGGATGGTGAAGAGATTGAGATTGTTCACAGCTTGAGTTTGCTTGGCTCCACAGTCAACACTCTTGGCACCAGTAGCCAGGAAATTAAAAGGCACATTGCTATGGGAAAGTCTGTTGTTAGGGACCTCTCCAAAGTACTGAAGAGCAATGGTGTCTCTCTGGAGACTAAGGTGCATCTGATACAGGCCATGGTCTTTGATATCACTTGTTATGCATCAGAGAGTTGGACAATGACTAAGGAGGATAGAAGGAGAATTGATGCCTTTGAGCTGTGGTGCTGGAGAAGAGTATTGTGGGTACCGTGGACTGCTAGGAAAACAAACAGATTCGTCCTGGAAAGGGTTAAACCGGGTGGCTCCTTGGAGGCAAGGATTCTGAGGCTCTGTCTAACATACTTTGGACATGTTGTGAGGAGGGACTGGTCCTTGGAGAAGGACATCATGCTTGGGAGGGTGGAGGGACAGCGCAGGAGGGGAAGGCCCTCTATGAGGTGGATTAATTCAGTGGCTGAGATAATTGGGATGGGAGTGTCAGAGACAGTGCAATTGGCACAGGACAGAGCAGAGTTTAGGGCTGTTGTACATAGGGTCACTATGAGTCGCAAGAGACTCGAGGGTACTTAACAACAAGGTACATAACAGCAACAAATGTAGATAGACTTTTCTGGATCGTTAGGATAACAAATGATAAGAAAGAAGTTCTTTGAACTTTTATGACTTACAAGTTTTTCAGCTGAAACATTAAAATTCCTCCAAATGCCCTGTGCTTATCACAGTTCCTCTACAGGAGTATTTTGTGCCAAGTCAAAGATTTCTTTAGTAATGGGTAGCCTCATTAGAAGGGACTTCTCTCCATTGGCCCACAGATATTATCCATCATATTTTACTCATTCAAACAGCCTCAGAAGTCTCTGTTATCTTCCTCATCCCAGTATGAGCCTCCCTTCTCCAAGACATCATACTGGAAATGCTCAGTGAAAGAGTGACAGAGACTCAGTGTGATGGGTTGACACAGTAACTCAACAATGGGCTTGAACATGGTAGAAATCATGCCAATGGCGCAGAATTGGGCAAGGTTCCAATCTGTCGTCCACAGGGGCACTGTGAGTCATAGTTGACATGACAGCACCTAACAACAACAATCACCTCAATGACAGAAGAGAAATCGTAGTTAAAATTCAGTTTGAAACACCCATTGTGTAGACATTGCCATTCCCATTGGCACTTTCTGGATGGTATAAGTGGAAGTGAGTCAGGGAGAAGGAGAGCTTTTATTTTTTTTTTTATTTTGTATTGGCACAGGATAGAACAGGGTTTAAGGCTGTTGTACAGAGGGTTGCTATGAGTTACACACAACTTAATGGCACATAACAATGACACCGCATTGCTTTATTTGAAATGCAACACCAAAGCAACAGAAAAGAGGAAATCCATTTTATGTACATTAACATGGTAATTCTGCCTGTAACAGTGACTTTCATTCCAAACCTCCTAGCTAGATCTTTCAAAACTCAAACTCATTGCCATCAAGGAGTAACTGACTCTTGGTTGGCCCTCCAGAGGATTTTTCAAGGTGATAAATTACACAAAGAAAATTGCCCATATTTCTCCTGTGGAGCAGTTGGTGGATTTGAACTGGCAGAGACGAAGCCTTTGGGTAAGCAATGCAACTCCCCATGGGACTGAGAAATGTAGCTCTTGATGCCTTCAACAACATTGTTGTTGCTGTTATATGCCATCGAGTCAGAACTCATAGCTGACTCTCCAGTGAAGTTGTCAGGCTATGAATTGCAGGGAAGGAAACTACTCATCTTTCTCTCATGGAACAGCTAGTGGATTCGAACTACGTGCCTTTGAGTTGGCAGCACCTTACCAGTAGGCCACCAGAGCTCCCTACCAACACTATATTGCATTTTATTACCCTGCATGACTTAGTTGTAGAGGTCACTTGTCGCAAGTCCCGTCCTTCACCGTCTTCATTGCCCAGCTGATCTCCATGTTGCTTCACGTTTTTTCTCAGTCGTTTAGATTTACACTGGATTTCCGTTAACAAACCTGAAAAATAAACATGGACATTTCACCAACCACAGAAGTTCAGATGGCGTGTGATGACTAATCTCCCTGATGCATACAAAGCTCAGAAGACCTCATAATGCAAACTGGCACAGAGCTAATGCAACACGTCCTTCTGGTGCTTCAGATAGAAAAGGCCGAGGTTTAAGACAACTTTCCTACTAACAGATTCTGTGACTTTGAACGATAAATTTGTCGTCTGTGAGTTTCTGGTTTTCATTTATAAAGGGATAATAATATCTATTTCACAGGATTTTGTAGAGATTTAATATAATAAGACCATTTAGTATAATGAGCTTGATGTAAAGAGTTTGTGACAGCAAGATATTGTAATAACTAAAAGTATTCAGCCAATAAAATGATGAATCAATGCTCATATTTTTCCAATTCCATATAAAGAAAGACAATCAAATTAACAGACTATCCCAAATTCAAATGTGGGATAAAACAAAGCCATGTAAGTAAAATTTTTATTATGTATGACTTGAGCATCCACCTTACACATGGTACCTGCTACATTTAAACAAATACAAAGAAAAAGGTAAAAGCAGGTATATTGATTTGTCTCCCAGAGTCTATCAAATACTGAAAGAAAAAGTGTAGTAAGAAATATGTAAGACCTTCTATGATCATTAGTAAAGCAATAGAGTCTAACGATGTGTTAAATGTGAATTTCAAGGGAAATGAAGAGATCTAAGGTTCAACTCTTTGTTTTGCAGATGAGGAAGAGTTTATGGACAGGCTAGCTGGGCACTTACTAACTAGGGGCAGAAGTGGGGGAGATGACTGGTGTTTCAAAGCATAAACGTCATACTAGTTTCATCCCTGTTTACATAACTATAGCAAAAGAGATTTTGCATTAAACATCTATCAGTAAACTAGTTGAATAAAATAAATGTTAATATTTTAAAATACTTTAGGAACAATATTTAAATTCTGTTCACTTTCTGAACTATCCAAAAAATTGAAAATAAAGTCAAAGAAAAAAACAAGCTGCTTTTGAAATATTTCTTTCATTTGATTATACAAGATCTTCATTCATTTACAGTTCGAGTTCTAAATATTGTAGAATAGTTGTATCTACATTTCATTAACTCGCATAGTCTTCTTTCAACATCAGTGAAGCAAAGTTCTGGCATTTTTTTTTTTGTGTGTGTGTGTGTGTGCAAAGAACTTATAGAATACCATGAAAGAGATGCATCTGAGATCAGATGAATTTGGGTTCATAGATAATATTATTTATGCTTATAGGTGGAGTCGTAAAAAAATACTCTAGGTGCATCAGCTGGAACAAGTTCATATATAAATGATGAGCAACATGAACTCCCTACTATCCAAGTGTTTCCACTACAAGATTAGGTTCCAACAGGCATGCTTGTGGTGAGTTTCTAGTTTCATATATGCTAAAATGAGATTGTGATCAACCGCTATAAAAATTTTATCCACTTGGAGCTGGATTATTTACACTGCCCTATTTTTTTCCTCTTCCATGGTCAGTTCTCTGGCCCCAGCTCAGCTGCCTCTACTATTTGAGAACAATAGAGCAGGAGTCATCTTCCCAAAGAAGCCTTTTCTTTCATGTGGCATTCCCTCCCTGAACGTTATCATTCCCTGGGTGACATTTGTTTGTCTATCTGTGTTTTGAGGAGGAATAGGACCTATCTCAGATATCTGAGTGATCTGTAAAATTTGCAGAATGAAAAATTAATTATGTCATAGATGAACATCCATGCCACATTTGGATGGAGATTACAGCGCCTCACAAAGCCAGCAGTTAATACAGTGTCTCTTTATCAGATTGAAGAGCCAAATTATATTAAAACTCAGAGTAGTTAATTTCCGGTGTAAACCTATACAAATTGGCTCCCGGCAGCACGAAGGAGGATTCTTAATAAAATGGTGTGGTTTAAAACTCTATTTAGACAATTCAGAGGCAGTTAAACCTTATAAAACACCCTTCACGCGTTCCACGTCTGTGCATTTTTATGCTAATTAAGCAATAAATAAGAAGCACATTAAAATAAAATTTGGAGGAAACTTTCAGGCTGTCAGTCTTTGTTGCTTCTTAAAGCTTGTAAATTCTGCAGTATAGGATTCATCACAACAAGGAATAACAGAAAACCAGCCATTTCTTTCAGGCAAATATTCTGACTGACAGCTTGGACGATTTCAGAGGTTCACTGTCCTTCAGGATGTTTAGATGACTTAGGAAATGCATCTTTTCTTAATATGTGAAGTACCTTCTTGTGATACGAATTACCTGACATCTGCCTCCTTAAGGGGATTTTAGTGGAATTTAATTGCTTAATGCGAATACCTGTATACATACATTCAGCCAACATTCCCATCTCTTTGCACTTCCGTAGTCGACACTCTTGGCACTTTCTTCGCATGTACATGTCCATCACGCAGTTGCCCCCGTTTTTACACTTGTACACGGCGTTTTTGGTAATGCTTCTTCTGAAGAAACCTGTGGGGGGAAAGCAGAAAGGTGGGGAAAGGCCTCCCAAAATTTCAACACACAAAAAACCCCCACATTGGACCATAGAGTTTGATAGGTGGAGGCAAGAAATGAAGGAATTAGGAAAGATCCAGTGGGGATCTGAGAAGATGGAGTAATAATGGGCATAGATCAAGAGTGATTAATTTTATAAGACTCAATGTATGAGAATGAGCATCAGAAAAACAATGTTTGTGGAAACATATGTATATGTATATTTTATTTTTCAAAAGCACATTGGAACTGAGATTTAATAGACCGTTTTCCCACAAATACCTGGAAAGTATCCAGGTATTAGATGCTCAAGTACTAACGCTGTCCCCACTTCTTCACCACGACCCTCCAGTTCTTTCAGTGACGCTGCAATTGTCCAGAAGGCTGCCATTTAAAACTTTATCAGAAATTCTTAAAAGCTTGTATTACAGCCTCTCTTAGGGGGAACAATGTGTTATTAAATGCTTTATGTCAAATTAGTTTTTATTAAAAAATGTTTTCTTTAAAAATGTAGATAAAGCAAACATTTACAAAGTCAATGTTTTTATTTTCCATGTTTTTCCATGTATAAAACTAAGTGAGATAAAGTATATCAAACAAGTTGTACGATTACCTCCAATATACTTTGCCTAGTTTTCCAGGCTTCTAAACAAAACATAATGCTTCCTGAACAAGCATTCTATCTACTCCTTCCCCTACCTCACCCCTGTTTCTCAGTCCTGGGAACCTCTAGTAAACCCTCATCCGTATTTGCTTATTTTAGGTGCTGCATGTTTGTTTTTTAAAATGAGAAATTATTTCTTAATTGTGACTTGTGTGAAAGTTTAAAAGTGTTTTGGTTCATCACTCAGTAAAACACATTTTGTTTTTTAACATTAATTGCAAAACCCACAACATCTGATAATCCCCCAACAACAACAATAAGAGCTGGTGGTCTAGTAGTAAGGAGCTGTGTTGCAATCCCAAAAGACACATGGTTCAAACCCATCAGCTACTCCACCGAAGGATGGGCAATCTCCTCCATGCATTGACTGCCTCCGAAAACCTTCTGGAGGGTGAGCTATGAGTTAGTTAGGACTCTACTGGCACACAACATTCTCCTCTCCTTCTCTTCCCGTCCCTGGTAATCATTCAAGAATGATTTTATGTATGCAAGCCTCCCTTAACTTTTTATAATACTGGTATTACACAGTATTTGTCCTCTGTGACTGACTTTATTTCCCTGAGCATCATGTTCTTTACATTCATCTGTGTTGTATAGTTTCATAGATTCTTCATCATTCTTTAGTGTTGCATAGTGCTCTATTCTGTCAACTTTTCAGAGTTTCTGTAACAATTCACTTACTGCTGTATACTTGAGCTGTTGAATTTCTTTATTACTGTAAATAATGCTGCAATAAATGCGTGTATAGATATCGGTTCCTGTTGCAGCTCTTATTTCTTTAGGATATATAATTGCTTAAAAGAAATACCTTTTATAATCTTTATTGAGAGACAATTATGTGCCATTGATTGCTGGGTGTTGGTGGTACAAAGATAAAGAATTAATTTCTGTCCTCTTAGAATTTGTAGGATATTTAAGAGCAAAGACATGCAAATAACCAAACAAAGAAAAGTCAGAGTTCCATGGCCTCCGGTGGGACAGAGCATTCAATGAGAATGGTTCCGTTCTGGATGAAGAGATCAGAGAATGGGAAGCAAACCCTTGAGAAATTAGTTGCTATTTACCAGTCAGACAAGGGGAAAAGACACATATAGGGTTTCAAGTCAGTGCTTAATATGTTCAGCCTGTAAAATAGCAAACATTCAAATCCTGATTTAAAGGAAAACAAAGCCCTGAGAAAGAGTAGCCATAAGAGTAGCCTGCTACAGATGAGATGCCTTGACTTGGCCAGGGACATGATTGACTTTTTCTCTCCTCTTCCTTTCCAACTACCACCATCCACTTATTTTATCTAATCACAGTCTCTGACACTTCCATGTAAAAGGAATAAAAGACTAGGGAAAGAGTGTGGGATGCAAGGGAAAATGTTCTTACTATTTGGAATTGTTATAATTTGGCTTCTGCCAAGTTAAGTTTTTGAAGTTGATTCTTTTTTGGGTTGAGTTCTCTAGAGAATTCCTTCTAACATAGCTATGACTTGTCTATTGCCCATAATCATGACCAATAATCTCCTTTCAGGTTTTGACTTGTATCCTTCTATAAGTAGAAATATGTCAATTCACTTGGGTCTGATTACACTGAGGTTCCTTTATTCCTCTATTTAGACCTTTTGGCATTTGTTGTTATTAGGTGTCATAAAGTCAACTGCAACTCATAGTGATCCTATGAACAACATATCTGAACCTTGCCCTATCCGTTCCATCATAGACTTAAAATCATCCTGTGCTGACTTTGTTCAGTACAATAAACTATTTGTAGTAGCTGTTAGGTGTTGTTGAATTATCTATGTCTCTTAACAACTTTATGTGCAACAGAACAAAATTCTGCTCGATCCTATGCCATCCTCATAATCTCTGCCTTGTTTATGCCCATGGTTCCGGTCAATGTATCAAGTCTTCCCCTCTCTCTCTCCCACCCCCTCGCATTTTTGTTGTTTTTATTGTTAACTCTCTACCTTTCCAGGCACAATGTTATTCTCCAGGCACGAGACCTTCATAATAAACACATCCAAAGAATGTAAGATCAAATCTCACTGTAGCACTCTGCCTTCACTTCTTCCAAGACAGATTTGTTTGTTCTTGACCATATGCTATCTCCTGAAATAATTGCAACTCCACCAATTCTTTATAGTGCAGTGATTATGTATTCTTCCCACCTTATTTTAATGTTTCATACATCATCCAGTATTTTACATATAGAATCTTTTAGTATTGCAACTTGAGGTTTGGATTTGTTCTTCAGTTCTTTCAGTTTGAGAAATGTTGAGCTGATTCTTCCCTTTTGGTTTTCTAATTCTAGGTCTTTGCACATTTCATGAAATGCTTTGCTTTGCATTCGCAAGCTGTTCCTTAAAATCTTCTATTCAGCTCTCTTCTTTCAACCATTCATTCTCATTAGTTCTTTGCATTCAAGAGCAAATTTCAGAGTCTCTTCTGGCATTCATTTTGGTCTTTTCTTTCTTTCCTACCTTTTTAATGACTTTTTATCTCTTGTGTTTGATGTCATCCCTCAGTTAATCTGGTCTTCAGTCGATAGTGTTCAATGCATCAAATACAATCTTAAGATGGTCTCTAATCAGGTAATATACAATGAAGAATACTCTCAATTTATTCTGAACTTGCACATAAGCAACTGATGGCCTGTTCCACAGTCAACCTCTGACCTTATTGAGACTGATTTTATGGCACTTCTCCACTGTCTCTCTCTACCAGTGCAGTGGACTTGATTCCTCTTTATGGCACCTGTCGAGATTCATGTGCATAGACATAATTCATGTGTTCTAAAAAATACATTTGCAATTAATAACATCAATGGTGGTACAAAATTCTATTGTGAAATCTCAATTTTCATCTCCATCATCAAGGCCATATTTTCCAATTATAAATCCTTCTTAATTTCCAGGATTTGCATTTCAATCTCCAATGACTATGAATGCATTTTGATTGCATATCTGGTCAATTTCAGATGGTAGAATTTGGTAGAAATCCTTAGTTTCTTCATCTTTGGCTTTAGTGGTTGGTGTATGAATTTGAATAGTAGTTGTATTAACAGATCTTCCTTCTAGGTATATGACCTTTTATTGTAACACTGACAGCACTGGTGTTTGAGTACAGACTCTTTGAGTGTTCCATTAGACAATGAATGTGAAGCCATTCTGCTTTAGTTTATTGTAGCCTGTATAATGGACCATAGGATAGGGCAAACTGCCCACCTCTAGGTTGATTAGCAAACCAATGCTTACCATTGGGCAAAAAAACCCTCCTTTTTGGCCATAAGAGAGTTGTCGTTGTTGTTATATGCCATCTAGTCAAGTGCGACTCATAACGACCCTATGTAAAACAGCCCTAAACCCTCCTCTATCCTGTACTAAATCTTGTTGTCTCCAACACACTTACTCCCAATACCCCAGTCATTGAATCAATTCATCTCATTGAGAGTCATCCTCTCCTGCACTTTCCCTCCACACTCCCAAGCATGATGTTCCTCTCCAAGGGACTGGTTCCTCCTTGCAACATGTCCAAAGTATGTCAGATGAAGCTTCAGAATCCTTGCATCCAAGGAGCAGCCTGGTTTCACCCTCTTTAGAATGGACCTGTTTGTTCTCCATGGTATATTGAATACTCTTCTCCAGCACCACAGCTCAAAGACATCAATTCTCCTTCTGTCTTCCCTAGTCATTGTCCTGCTCTCTGATACATAGCAAGTAATTGCAAAGACCATGGCCTGTATCACCTTAGTCTCCAAACTGACATTGTTGTTCTTCAGTACTTTGGAGAGGTTTCTAACAACAGACTTTCCCAGTGCAATCCATCTTTTAATATCCTGGCTGCTGGTACCAAGATTGCTGATTGTAGAGCCAAGCAAACTAAAACTGTTTACTATCTCAATCTCTTCACCATCTATCATGATGCCTCCAATTAGTCCAATGGTGAGAATCTTTGTTTTCTTGATGTTGAGCTTCAGTCCATATAGGAGGCTGCAGTCCTTGATCTTTTGCAGCAAGTGCTTCAGGGTCTCCTCATTTTCAGCAAACAGGGTTGTGTCACATGTATAATGCAGATTTGATGAGTCTTCCTCCAATCCTAATGTCACATTTCTCCTCATAGAACTCAGAAGATTTCTACCAACTTTTGCAGTAAAAAAAAATCTATTATTAATAATAAGTAAATGGAATGCAAAAGTTAGAAATAGAGAAGAAGGATCAGTAGTTTGAAAATATGTACTTGGAGATAAAAATGAAGCTGGAGATAGAATGACAGCATTTTGTACAATCAATGATTTATTCATTGCAAATAAGTTTTATAAAAAACAT